TTCCGAAAAGAAATTCAAGTAAAAAACTTTGCATACATTGCAAAAAATTCTCTGTGCCAATACTTTGATCCGGCACTATAAATATTTATTAATTATAATTCCATTCAATAAAAGAACTACAAAAATTTGAATTAATTAATTGCCTTTATTTTTAGCATTCAAAAACAGTAGATAAAGCAGTGTAGAAAAACGCTTTTTTAACGTAAATTAATCGTTTACGAGACTCGTTTACAATTAAAAAACGGACGTAAAAATATTCGCATACGAATGCTTTTTCGATCCGTTTACGACTGTTCGTAGGCGATGCACAATTTAAAGCGAAAAAGTGCTCGAAAAAGAGTCGTAAACGGCTATCATAAACGATTTTTAATCCGGTTTTTCTTCGAGAAAATATCCAATTACGAGCTCGTTTACGATGATTTTGCTGGCTGGGGGAGTAGGAAATAATGTTACTCATACGCCATACCGTACATGGCCGTACCGGTGCATACTCGTACATGGCGAATGGGTAATATTTCCATGTTCAAGCTTGAATATCAGTTTTATACGCAATGCAAACTTAAAATAAATGAGATTGAAAGAAAGCACAAAATATTGTTCAATATTTCATTGTCAAAGATTGTATTTTTTCGTAAAAATTTAAATATCTTGAGGGCCTGATCTGGTAAAACTGTATACAGATCCATAATCTACGACCCAATATTAAGTTTACGTATTTTGGCATCTTTAAGTCATTGCAAAACAGTGTCATTAGTTTTTTAATTAATAGTTTCGCATTTAAAGCAAAACAGGGCCGAGTGGTGAATAAATTGGTTGCCGGTTGTGATTGCAGCTTTTCGACGTTAAGTTTTCTTTGCATTCTTTGCTGATCCGAGTCGATGTTTGGCCCCAGAGCGTACGAACATCTAAGACACTGTAACACATGGTCGATTTGGTTTCTCGTAGTTTGATGTATCTTTTTGCACTGGCATCTAAAACTACATAATATCATGTGTCGGGCCCGGCACCGTCGATCAGCTTCAGTTCGTTATCGGACGCTTCGTCGCGGAGGCTAAATTTTCCGACAATGACGCCCAAGATCCCTACTAGTTTTTAGAATAATATCATGTCATATCATATCATATAACCAAATTAATTAGTTCGACTTATTAATGCCAACGGTTTTACCCTCCTTTCTCGCCCAACCGACACGAGGGGCGCGATCCGTTATCGTTCAACAGCAGCTAAAGTAAAGTAGTAGGTATGTATGTTTAAATGGGTAAGGATAACCAACAACAGCAAGTAACCTGGGCTCGAATTCTGACGAAGGCTGATGAGGATAGATTGCCAGATGGTAATCTTCGAAATAACAATAATAACTTCCACTGATTATATTTTGCTATTTTTAAACTGTGCCCAATATCTACTTAAAATAACAAAACAATTTACACTTGCACACAGTACATATGTACCTAATTATAGTATATATGAATGCTCATGAAAAGTTGCGAGGCGCTGCACAAAAATAAAATTCTGCAGGCTGGAAAAGTTGCTTTGGCCTATTTTATTGTATTTTCTTTTCCATCAAATAGAAACAAAAATAGATTATATTCACTCACCTGTATATAGGCGTCTTCAGACCCACTTTAAACCAAATTACAAGTGCAAGGCGATCGTCCAGAATGGGCGGCGTCACATTGCAGGGCAATTGACCCAATGTGCCCTGGAGGGATTCGGAAATTATGGGAGGTCCTGCAAAGAAAAAACAGACAAAGAAGAAGTACATTATAAGGCTGAAATTCTAACTTAATTGCGAAAAAAGATACCAAAGAGAGCAGATGAGGAGATTTACCTGAGCGAAGCGAAAAAAATGTAGCGAGAAAAATTTCAAACTATTTGCAAACCATTTTAAAAGACAAATAGCCGGAGGAGTCGTGAAACAAATAACGAGTAATTAGCGCTACAAATTACCTGAAGGCAGGCAGTCGGCGGCGCGCAGCAAAAGCACAAGTGGAAAATTCAAGGAAGAGTGGGAAATGTATTTAAAAGATGTGCAAAGAGATAAATAAAAAAGAGGACAAGAAGACTTCGCTGGATTTTTGTTTTTATTTGTTACGAACTAGCTAAATGAAGGTAATTAGAGGCATGACGTGTAATGTTAAGCGCGGCACAAATGCCAGCAAGGAGTCTATGCGCATGCGAGCGTCAGACATCCTTAAGGATTAAACAATGCTGGCCAGAGCGATGTTTTGCATCGCTTGGCTGACTACTTTCTTTCTTATCTCTTGCAATATTTTACAACAAAACTGCGCTACGCAAAAGGATTTTTCAGTGACATTTGTAAAATTACTTCTAAGCCCTTTTCATTTCAAATCCGTTTGACTTAAGTTTTTCTATTTAAGTTGTTATTTGACTACTTTTTCTTGTATTTCAAAGGTTTTTTTTATCTTATTATTTAAAAAATTTTACTTCCAGAAGAGTTCGCGTATATCTAATTTATTTAATGGAAGAACAGAAGCTATGTGAAAACCGCCATTTGCTCTAAATTAACTAGCAAAATTCTCTTAAATGAATAGAAGTTTTAAATTAGTTAGAAATCGGATAAAAGGACATAGTACATTATATTTATGTTATTATGGAAAACTAACTTCCGTTAACCTTTCTCTTTTCCTTTCCGCCGCAGTTGCTTTTTTCCTGTAAGCCGAATTTCTAAATGATATTGCTTTTTGTGTTGTCACCATGGAAATGGAAAATTTCTAATTTAATTATAACATGGATGATGAAACGTCGATATGCAGTTCATTAGCGCCAAAAACGACAATAGCAACAAATGAACATGAATGAAAACAAATCAAATTAAAAATTTTCAAATGAGTAGAGTTTGTTTACGTCTAGCACTGATTTGCTTACGTGGCAACTAATTTCGCGTACCAATCGCGTGGCGTGCGAAAGGAGTTTTGAAATGTGAGCTATATACGGGGCAAAATTCGCCAAGTGTACCAGGTGAAAAAATTGATGTCACCGTTGTTGTCATTGATGCAAGTAATCAATGTTATGAATGATTTTTCTTTGTCTTTTTTTCTTTTGAAGTTATGAGAGTTAGAATTTTTACGTTTTTGCACTTTTTCTTAAAATCACGGGTTTTCTTAAAATTCGTAGCTTACGTCTAACTTACAATTGAGTATCCAAAGTAAGTGACTTCATAGGATTTTTCCCGCGATTTCCGATAATGACAATAATTTTTTTATAAGAATATTTTTTTTGCACAAATTTTGCAAAAAAATAGCTTATTTCGATAGCTTATTTTCTAAGCTTTGCAACAATATATAAATTGTTATGGGATCGACATGTGGAACAGAAGTTTTTCCTATCAGAATGCTTGCTAGCCTAACTATTGAGGAACTACTGCAC